ACAGAAGCAAGGAAATTAGGCAGATACATTCCCTGAAACAGACTATGAATATCTTCATGCTAAATTCTCCAAGAAGAGGAGAAAAGAGTGTGCCCACAATAGCTGATCCACTCCTTTGTCTTTCACTCTCCATAGTTTATACTATATAAATATAGTTCATGTTCACCACTAATATCTTCTCTTTCCCACTGCACCATATAATATTCTAAATATTAAGGGTTTTTCAATGTAATTATTTTCCCTATTTTTTTATCCATAACATTATTTTCTACAATCAATGGACTTTGTCAAATCAGAGCACAAGATCATTTGAAATCTATGCTTATGCCTATATAATATGCTTTGCCTATATATATATTTTTTAAAGTGTTCCTGATAGCTAAATGCAAAAAAGATTAGGTAATTAAACTGAAATGTATACTTACTTGCCCAAATTTTATCAAATGATTGCACTTCAGTGAAGTGCTCATGCTAAATAAACAAAGCTTACGTTAACAACTCAACATGCCATACAGCATGATATTTATACAACAGGCTTGGTACACACTGAGCTTAACCATTTGATTCCAGGAGTCATGATTTCCTGACATGCCATCCTAATACAGAATGCATTAGTACTAATGTTGAAACAAAAGATCTACTAATATGAAGGAAAAAATAACTATCTAGTTCATTGTTGATATACTAACTTAAGGGATTGGAGACAGTTACATATTTATTCTAACCAAGATAAAGTTCTGACTTCATGAAAATAAACTACTTCAATAGAGGCAGTATAGGTAATAGAAATAGCTAAGCTTTTCATAGCTCTTTGGCAAAAACAAATAACATTACAACTACCTGTCCAAATCCCTATGCTGTGTAACCTACAACAGTATCAGTATTGTGAGCAGATGAGTCTAAACACAAGGATTTGCCTACGTGGAAGGGAAACTGTAGTGCTGTACATGAACACCCACCTGTGGTAACAAACTCCTAGCATTTACCTCTAAATTATGCTTGTGCTTTGCTCAAGTCTTTCTCACGACTGTCAGTGTAAGGAGAACGACAAAGCTGCCAGAGTCACAGCCCAGGCTAGATGACTTGAGATTCTTCAGTAGCCATAAGGACCGTTATTTCCTGCCACAGGAGAACGATCTACAGGTTGTAAGAACCAAACTCATGTTTTCCCCCTATTACTTACTGCAGAAATGCAGTAATATGGATTGAAATCCATGAAAGTGGTCAGCTCTCTTCACCACACCTCAATCACACCTTTTCCAGAAAATACGGTAAAACAAAAATCTGTACTATGGAAACCTTAACCTGACTTACGGCAGTAAGTTTTCCAAGTAAATGCTATTATCTTATTATATTCAGGTTAACATTATCTTCAGCTCCCGTCCCAAACCTGCCTCAGCTATTCTGAAATATGTCATCAACCAATGCATGTACTGACTGGATCCACTTTATGCATCAGTGTCATGACTGGCATATATAAACATCCTTCAAACACACTTATTTGGGTATCTATACATGAAAGTAAAATCGCTACTACAATTGGTACTCAAGCTTGTCAGATGGGATGTTTTTCTCCTCTGTTTTGCCTAAGACATGCTAATGATTATGCCATCTGCAGTCTGAAACCCAGAAAAATGTAAATCAGAAAGTAATAGTAGATCAAGATAAACGTCTGCACAAAATGATAATCTTTGATAGTATACTGTTAACTCTCAAGTATACATCTCTGTATAACTATCTAAATGTAAACCACTACCCCTTGAAAAAATATGGGAGAACTACTAGATAACGAATTTTTTTTGCATTAAAAACTAATACAAATAGATTTGCTAACCAGAACACTTCTCTTTTAAAATCAATCATATGGCAAGCGTATCGGTTTAAATCAGTTAAATCAGTTTAAAAAGATTTTTCATGAGAAGCATATAAAAAACATTCACAGTGCTGAAGAAAAATCCCAGAGGTTCTCTAAAATCATCCCCTTGGTAAAAAAACAGTAGAACTTGGCCACTTACCGAACACCCTGTTTTTGCAAAGTTGTGGACACAAATTTGAAGGTTTCTTCAATAAGTTTTCAACTTGCTGATTAGCTAGTAGCTGCTGTAGGTCACTAAAATACTTGATACATTACAGAATAACAGGGAGAACATGTATAAATGCAGCATATGGTACCTTCCCCCAAATATCCTTCAAATACAAGATGGCTACTAAAATTAATACCATTTTTCCTTTTTGGCACATGGAACAATAGTGCAGTTTACATCAAAATATGGAGCACATGAGAAGTGCAATGGCAAGGATTACCTAATACCCACATTTGCTTGCAGATGTGTGAGGCAGTTTTAAAATTTTTATAAGGTTTTTAATAGATTTATAATACAGTTGTACCATATCTCCGGTTGCTACATTAGTAAAATGGTCTGAAATTATCGGAAATTAGACATGCACTAATATTAAAATATTTTCAAATACTGAGAGAAGTCTGTTTCCTTAAGCACAAACACAAGCATTTTTCATCTTTTTTTATCTTATAAACCCCAAATTGCTTATACATATTTTGCAATTCCTACTGCTAGGAGATTTTGGCCAAAGTTACCATTAAATCTGGCATAATAAAATAATAGTAATGTACAAGTTTATGACCCATATTACAGTATTTGGTTAAACAGGCATCACGATGCTCAAAATGTGAATTTCCACTCCATAATGAACAATGAAAAGCTCTGTAGTAACAGTAAAAGACAGAAATAGAAAAGCTCCAAGGACTCATTTTCAAAATCTTTATACATCCTTTCCACTAAAGAAGAAAATTAAAACGGAGTGCGCTCATACCTGAATTTACATGTTATTTGATACATAAACCAAAGTCTGGAAGCATATTCCATTTTCCTCTCATATAAAAACAAACCAAATGAAGTGTCCAAGGCTAATGAGAGGCACTGAACACATACTGATCATCAAAGGAAAAGTTGGAAAACAAGAGCAATAATCTTGGCTTTAGGGAGCACGTAACAATTTTGAAAAGAAAATTATTTGCTTTATTTGCTTCTTCCTGCCTCGTAAGTATGGCCCATGAGGCACTGAACCTTCTTGGCAAAGACAAAATACAAGCCATCTCTACAATACACCAGCCCATGACATTTATAAGGCATCAGGCCAAGGTTAGTCCCGTGGGAGTAGGAAAGCACAAGACTTCCTTTCCCCATCTCATCATCCCTTTAGGTTGACTGTGTGACTGCCTTTGTCTCCAGAGATGGTTTTCTTTCCTTTCATCAATGTCTACCACAAGTAGTGCATCCCCACATCCCTTCAGCCTTGAAAAGATTCACCAATGGGTGGAAGATATAAACAGAGATGTAGGGAGCTATCAAAATGCTGCAGTTTACAAGTTGGAGAATTAGAGTAAGCTAGCATCGCTGACAAAAATATACTGGGAAAACTGACACTTTTGCTTGCTCCATATAATTCTCTTAGGATCTGGTGTAGGCCTATTTAGATACCTCAGGCTAGAAGGACCTTGAACACTCCCTGTACAGACCTTGCCTTTCAGAATAAGGAGCTGGGGGAACTACTTTCACCATATTCATTAAATCAATTATCTTTACGATTCGACCCTTCAGGATCACCAATTTCCCTTCTGAAAATTTAGAAAAATACACAATTCATAAGCTGCTGGATTTACAACTATTTTTCTTGTGTGCCCGCAGCCCAGAAGAGATTAGCAAAGTGAAGTCAAAACTGAGTAGAGGGAAGCTGAGATGGTCCCAGGACTCTACACCTCCAGATTGGACTACAAGTATAGCATGGCAGAATGCTAACTTGAGATGTTTGGGTTTTTATGTTATTTTGGTTGTTGGTTGTTTTTTTTCCATTTTCTTTATTTGCTTTCTGATGTTTTCTTTTGGTTTTGAGCTTTAAAAGTAAATTTGAAGAGAGATGATGTGAAATATGAAACTGTGTGCCGTGCCTACCATTCCTTCATGAAATTTCACCAAGTAAAAGAGGAGTATGTAAACTGTACACAAAAATTGCACAAGTTAACAAACTTTACATTGTTCCACCGATGCAAGATTAGACAAATTGTAATGTCTGGAGCTCTCCCTCCATTATGCTCCACTAAAACTAAAAACCAGATTTTTAAAAAACGTTATTCTGTCAAAAAGGAGGGATTCCCAAAGGTAGGTGTTATACTTATTTACTAAACAAAACAAAACTATCACTTATGATCACCCTTTGTCTGCAACAAACTGCAATTCAGCAATTAAAAACCGCTAAGCACAGTCTATATGCCATGAGAGAACCAGTTTTGTCAGAAGAATGCAATTTCAAACTCAGAATTCATAACAAATGACCTAAAACCTCAAAATTTTTTTCAAAAATGAAATGCTTCCCATCTGCAAACAGTACAGTATTCTTACCAATGATGAATTTAAAATAATTATTCAGTGCTTAATGTCCCCCAAAATATCTGAAGCCCAACAGCATCCAAGTGTGAAAAGCTATGCCATGTTTTTTCAAAACACAGAAGCAACTCTTCTATAAATTCATGCTGTTGGTACTTCCTGAATAATTTACCATTTGTCACTTGCATATAGTATTGATAGCCTGTCTTGCTTATTTCTTCGTGAGTACCATTTCACTCCTCATCTTAACACAGCTACTTTTACAATTTAATCTATGTATACATATAAACATATCGTGCCAATCTTGCAACATACCTATCAATAATTCATTAGAGCCATAGCTATTCAACTCAATCCGCACAGATGTTTATTGTAACAGACCTTTCAAGTATCTATAATCACAAAACGCCTTTCTACCTTCTGATAAATTCTGCCTGTGAATTAAAAGTCACCAGCGTGAAGGGCTACCTCCTCCTTTATACGAATACGCAGCACTCGGCATCAGAGCACAGGCACCAACACACACACCACACGTGTGAGCAAGCACAGCACTCTTCCTTCCAAGTGAGGCCCCAAAGGCAATGATCCTTTACTAACCTGCAGTGGTCTCTGTTTATCAGTGCCTTTAGGAGACTTCAGTCCACTTGTCTGTTGCTGTAAAAGCAGCTGTCTTGCTGCCTGGAGTGCCTAAAAGTTCATATTAAAAAAAAAAAAAAAAAAAAAAAAAATGTAAATAAGTTCCACCATTTCCTAGAAAGAGATGAGTTAATCATTGTTAATGTTAGGTAAAAGTCCAATCAAACAAATGCAATCTTTGATGTGTATTTGCTAGATTTCAGGAGCCAGTTTGCATTTGTTTTACTTGAAGCATAAAAAAGGTCCTCTGAAAGTATGCATATAGGACTTCACTAGAATTTATGGATTTATGGATGTACATGAAATCCTGCAGGAAATAAAGTTAATTTGTTTAAAGTGCTTGAAGAGGAAAAATCATAAACTGCATCAATAGCCTCATTTCCACAAGGAACTTGTCTTTGAGTGTTCAACTAAAATGCCCACTCCCTTGTAAATTATCATTCAATTTGCATTTTCATATTACAATTTTGAAGCAAAAGCAAGTAGACTTCAAGTGTTACCGGAAGCTGTAATTAAATTTGACAAATCAACATCAGATTATCTTGAAAGCGAATTAATAAGGATATTCATTGAAGATTAAAAACAATTTTTGTACTTACAATTCAAGGAGAAACCTCTCCTTTGACAAAATAAAGTGCAGTTTTAATGCCAAATAAAAATGAGTGGTTTTAATTTGCATTTTTAGGGAAATCGGAGAACAAAGAAATTATTCCCCAGCCAATCAGAGCAGACTCTGGGATGACAGCATCCCAATCAAAATATAAAATGTTTTCATTTATTTTGTGTTTTCATTCCAACTCAGCAAAATACAGTTAAACATGTGAAAAGTAAACAAACGCTCAATTTAGCCAAGGAAGGCTAAACATTATTTTTCCTTGTAAAATTTTTTAAATGCCAAGTATTATAAAATGATATTTATTAAGAAATGAAAAACAAAGGGACATTTACAGTGAAACTGCCTACTCTTTTTCTTTAAAAATCAGTCCAGTAAATAGAACCTGCAGTTTTACGATGCATCACCCTATTCTTTACGTTATTCAAAACGCACTGTACATAGAAAACACTTCAATAAAGGCGATTTGATCAACATTCCCTAAAATAATAAAGATTCCCAACTGATAAAGAAAGGTACAATTTTGATTAGACTCAAATGAGCTGGTTTTTAAGATAGTTTCTAGTATCCATGACAACAGTTGCTTTGACAAGATGTGCATATGGCATTACACTGCCAGCTGGTGTGAACAATGTTTGAACTACTGCATTGAGATGCTGAGCAAACAGAAAAAGTTGCCACGTCTTAACCCTCAGGGAAAGCAGTCATCCCCTGATCAATTATGAAAAGACAGAGAGAGGGCTGCTACAGTCTGGCTCCAAGCAAGTTTTCTGAGGAGGCAGGCAGACACAGAAAACCAAAGTAAACAAACTGAATGCACTAGCACCATCTCCTAACAACATTGATTCGTCTCCCTGTAGAAGGCTCTGGTACAAAGTTTGCAGAGCATACTTTTAACATTTGGAGACATTCTCACAACAATCCCCTTATTGTTTCATCAAATTCTCAAGTAATTACAGGTCAGCTTTACAAAGACTATACATTCCTCCGAACCTAAGCAACCAGACACACATAACTAGCTTTTCCCCTCCAAAAATAAATAAAAGTTAACATATTTCAAAGTGCACTTGAAATATTTTGTTACTAAGGAGTCACTGGATGCCTGGTTTCCTGTGTGAACAGTGTAATCTTTTCTGCACTCACAGCTCTTGAGCAGACCCTGAAGGACGGCCCTGCTCTGTCTGAGACCAGAGATAAATATCAGTTGATTTTGGGGGCACCAGGAACTGGTCCCAAGATCTTGCATACATTTAAACAGAAAACATGGAATAAGTGCATGAACAGAAGATCTACAGCAAATTTATAATCCTTCCTAATCTTTAGAACCGTCTGAAAGGGAAATTTGATTGAATGAGAGAAAACTATTGCGCTTCCGAATTAATAGGAGGCTGTACAGCGAAACCACCCTCCCCAAACAGAAGAATTTTGCTACAAGAACAACTGAAGAGATCCAGAATTAGATGATTGGGGAAAAAACGCCCATAAAATAATTATTTTTTTATTTATGACAGTAGCAGAAAATTCATTACATGGGCTTTATATGGGAAAGAAAGTGCAATTCTCTAATGCCAATGCATACTGTCACTGCAAGTTGTTTCAGTGTCCTCATCCCCCTCAGCAGTAGAGTCATCTCACGCCAATACAAAAAAGAAGCAAGCAAGCATCTGGTAAAGCTGTACATTTAGAGCACTTGAAAATGAGAGGATTATAGTATGATGTGGCTTATATTTAAGCTAGCCAGTATAATTTCCAATTGTGTCTTGCATACTCCCATGGAATCAGTGTAAGAAAATACGAATTCCTAGCACTAACTACAAAGAGTCCCACTTTATGAAGAAGCAAGACTGCACAACAGGATATGTTTGCACAAAAGCCTTTTCTACTTAAATTATTTTGATTTATATACGCTGGTTGAGATATTTTTAAAGGAGTAAAGGCTCATCTTTTAATACAGAATGACTTACAAATGATGACTACCTGAATACTTCAGTGATCTTATTGTGGCAGTTTAGATTACTGTAAACACCGGAGACAGAAAAAGAACAGAAAACAATTTCAAGAGATCAGAGATGATTTAAAACTCATAAGGAGAAATCACTGTCAGCCTTTGTTCTTATAGACGTTGTCATATAGTACTTTTTCCTCCCAGTGTGCCACTTAACTTTAGATACTGCTACCTCGTAAACAACCTCCCAGAAACACATCGTTCATTTCAAAGAATTATTACTGACATTATTCATATGTGAGGACTATGAGACTGTAGAACATTCAATTCTACCAATTCATTCACTGCCACTGCATCTTTGCAAAACAAATTGACAGCTTGAAAGCATCTTTCAAAATTAATAGTTTAACAAGTACACTTAAAGCAAGCCCCAATCCCACATATCATCTCTTCAATGCACTAATTTGATAATAAGCTGTGGTCTAAAAGCAGTTCAGTGAAGACAAACTAACAGATGTTTATAAGTCTGGCAGATCAAAATCATGTTGTGTCCTACCTCAAATTAACAGCCTACATTTGGTAGGTACTTTTCCTAAATTGAGTTATATAAACTAGTAAAACAATACAAAAAAAAAAAAAAAAAAAAAAAAAAAAAAAAAAAAAAAAAAAAAAAAGTCAGCATAGACAAAAACAACAAAAAGAACTGAGGATTAGAAATAATTTTAATAATGCAAATGAAAATCATTATAATGCTTTAAGTAGCGTCTGTATAAGCAGGAAATTTGGGCATATGGTTTCCAGAACTCACTGTGTCTTCTAGTAAAATATTTATAGGGAACACTACTTCTTAATATTTACTGCACAGCTTTGGCATAGCTGAAATGTAAGCAGAACTAAAATGAAATTAATTGCATATAACTCACTCTATTAAACTTGATAAATTGCAGTAGATTTTGTAATTTGTTGGAAATAATTCTAGGAGACACAACTTGCTTTTATTCTGTATTCCAAACCGTCATATCTGATTTAAGAATGTCTTAGAATGATTTGTAAAAGTTTTCTCATTTTAATAAAGTGAAAGTTGCCACTAAAAGGAAGTGATCATGTTGTTTTTTTATAAAGTCAACATAAGTGTATTTTTAGGAAACAGATGTCACTCATATCTTTCCTTTAAAAATAGGAATGTTTAACCTATCAGCCTGTTGCATTTGAGTCGCAAAAATGAAAAATGACATCTACGCCCATTAATATCGTCAATGTATAAACAGCACAGCGTGACACATTCTTGAGAGCTGAAGGCTACAAAATCTCTCTGAAACATAAATAACAAAGCACTCAGAAGCATATTTGATGTTGATATTCATCTCTGAGAAAAACACTGCTGCCTAGGCTTCTTATGAAAATAGATGCAGCCCAAATAGATCTCCTGTAATTGGTTTCAGATAGCGAGGTCAAAAGAAATATGATACAAGAAACTATTATGTGGAACAGGCGAAACAAGAATGTTTATACAGTCACTCCCTATTTATACTGACAAGAGGTGTATGCTTTGCAGATAACCAGAACCAAAAATCTTGCCAGAAGACAACCAGATTCTGTCCTTTTTCTAACTCCAAATCCCTGTTTTATTTTTCTCGTATGGCTGCGCACTCTAACATTCCAGCTGAACAAAAAAATAAGTTTCTGAACATTAAATAACTTTCCAAATGGCTGCATATGTCAAACAAGAGTCATCTCGCTGGTAGCACTATGGAACCGAAACGTATCAACATGCTAAGCTGGATTTAAGGCCAAAGACTGCACTGCACTGGTTGAATAACAAGTTAACCGAATGATTACATGGCCACATTTATTATAAAAATCACTTCAGTAGAACCTCTGCCCCTCATGTCCTGCTGTGTCCATCCTCCAGCTGGCTCAGCCCAAGAAGCTCAGAATTACCTACAGTCATGTGAGATCTGTGAAAGACTCTGACAGAAAGATAACGCTGCTCAAAGCTCTCTAATAGCCTTCCAACGCTACTGCTGAACTTTTGTCTCTCGCTGACTGTATTTTCTCCAAAAGTTCTCTAATGACTATCACAGGCAGCCAGCATGGTAGCTTATAATCTTTCCAAATGGGGTAACAAAGCATTTAACTCTATTCAAAGAATCTTTAATTTAAGACTATCCATCTGCTTTCCAACTGCAGCCCCTCCAGGAGAGCTGACGGGAAAAGCCAACACCCGAACGCATCTTTATTTACCTTACTCAGCAACACTGAAGTACACGAAGAAGATAAAATCTTTGTCTCTAAACCGTGTGGGAAAGATAAAACTCTAAAGCCTGCCTGCTGAGGACAAACGTGCCCATCTGAGAGCCCATGAAGTCAAGTCCTTGACTTCACAAAACTAAAATACAAGCCACATAACCAGCCCAATTTCATTTATGAATGGTAGACTGAACAATTATTACAGAATTTTCTTACAGAAGTACAAACATGGTAACAGG